TAACATACCTCTCGGCTAGCACGGGTCCCAACATATATGATCACGTTCATATCAGGAAGCCACTTTCGGAATTCTTTAGCCCAATTTGACAAGGTTGATAAAGGAACAACAACAAGAAACGGCCCATGAATTTGTTGTGAGTTCTGTAAAAAAAAAAGAAAAAAAAAAACTATTTTTAATCGCTTTGTGAAGCAATTTGGCAGAAACATGTGAGAAATTAAGATATATGAATACCTGGAGGAAACCAAGCATAGAAACAGATTGAACCGTTTTCCCAAGACCCATTTCATCAGCTAATATCACATTTGTATCGTTTCTCCAACTGCACTGTGAATATTGTTAATAAGTACAGCTTTAAATAAAGCAATTACCTAACCCTAATGGAGGTATCTGTATCACATACCTATTAACAAGAAAATTCAACCCCTCCAGTTGATAATCTCTCAGTTTCCCGCCTTTTAGCCAATCCGGCTGTTCATCAAGTTTTCTCAAACTTGCTATAAGAATAAAAAGTAAGAATTTAAATAAAAAAAAATAACTGACTTAATGTTTGATAGGTTGGGTAACAAACAAGAGCCACATACCCATGAGACTGAAAGTATGAATATCCTTCTAGGGTTAGTTTATTTATTTGTGTTACAGAAGGTTATTTTTCAAAATGTCTATTTAAGTTGCCAAGGAAAACTTATGGACAGTTTTTTCATTTACTTAATACTTGTTATCCTCTTAAATGAGTAAATCTAATGTTAGACTGTGTTCTTGATTTAGAAATGGTAGCATATTTTGTCCAAGGAAACCAATTCTTAGATTGTCGTTATAATATGATCAGTAATAAAAACTGCATCTTGAAACATAACATACCTTTACTCTTTCTTCGTTGAAAATCTACCATTTTTCCATGTGCAGCTGCAAGGGCAGCTTCTCGAGCCTGCATCCAAATTGACAAAATCAAAAACTAATAATGGAATAAAAATGAAACCCAAATAATCCTTCTTGAACTCAAACACATGAAGACTAAAACATTACCTTGTATTCATCAATTGCTGCTTGTGCAAAAGCAATATCATCAATCTTCTCCCTGAAAATATCAAAATTAAATACAAGCATTCTGCTGCTGTGTCTCATTTTCATTGGTTAGGGAAAAAAAATTAACACACGGGAACCTACTTTTTCAGTGTCTATAAACAAATCATAAAAAAATCAAATAACAATACGCACCACAAAATATTTCAAACTAACCACACCACCAGTTATCAGTTAGAGCATATCAGCTAGACCAAAATCAAAAATAAAACTACTCTTGTAACAATGATATGGCAGAATACGAGATTGAGCCCAAAAGATCCCAAAAAATAGCACTTTAGAATAAAAGTCAATATACAAAATTTTGTATACATTATTACATACAAGGTGAAATGAGTTTATACTCCCTCTATTTCTGTGTGTCCATCTCAGTGAGAGTAAAACTAGACTGCTAATAGAAACAAACATAAATGTGAATTGTTGATTACTACTAGGCCATGGTACTCAGCAAAAAATACAAATAAATAAATAGTGCCACCTACCAACACCTGAGAGAAATAACAAAATCAAGATTCATACAGGTTAACTGTGTCAACATACCATGTTGCTTCAGCATAGGAGAGTCCTTGCCACTTAACCAAATACTCTGGCACTTCCGAACTTTTGCCGATTCTATCAGCAATTATTCTCTCAACCTAATTGGTGCAATTAAAAAAAAATTACATAGAGCAGTGTGAAAGGAGAAAATGGAATGACCCAAATTGCATAAGCTATAAAACCTGACAATTCTGCTTGATAAGATCCAGATCCATCTCCTTGCTCACATCAATGACCTCAATCTAACCAAAAAAGGATACAAAATAAGTAAAATCAGGTCACTTTGACAAAAAAAATGACAAGGCTATAAGTTCTTGATAGCAAAGAGTAGATAATATAAGTGATGTTTTACACAAACAGAAGTAAAATATCATGTTGCAAACCAATATGCAGGGTTGTTAAATAATTTTGGTTTGATGAAGTTCATAAGGAACATAGAACAAGGAATAGGATCACCAAATCATAAATCGAGTCAAATGCAAGAAATAGCAGCGTACTTTAATTGATTTGTTTGTTATAGCATCTTACTTTAATTTCTTCCAATTATAGCATTGTGCTTTGAAAAATCTATTGAATTACAGCAATGCCACCAAAATAAGAAGCAAATTTCATTGCTAAAATCGGGTAGCTTTTTTAAAAGTATAATGTGTGAATTAAGAACAATCTGAAAATACAATGCTATAATTGGGTAGCTTTGGTAGTACAACACCTTAAAAAGAAAAAGAAAAAAAAAATGAAATTGCTATGCTTTAACAAAAAACAATGCTTGTAAATTCTTGAATGTAAACTAGTCAACTTTCATACAATAGACTACCAATATCATGCGCAGATATAAATATAGTATTTAAGGTGAAATGAATGTAAAACAGTAAAAGGTTTACAATTGCCTAAAATTTATAGGATTCTCCCTCTGTCTAGTCATAAGTTTTATATGCAACACAGTAAACTCTCTTGAATAGATTACCAATCACATATTCAGCTATAATGTGTTCAAGATGAAATGGCAATTAATAGGCCTAACACTCCTCAATATGCATAACTTCCATGGGGAAAAATGTTCATACTTCATACACTACGACATAGAGAACAATTTAAAAAATAGATTAAGGTCAAAGCCACTTATTTTAGAGATCCTTGATATAGCTACTAAGCCTTGTTCTGCTTCATTCATATCAAAATCTTCACCCGTAGAACAAAGTGATAGAGCTAAATAAAGGCTATGAGGCATAAAAGAGTGTTTTTATAGCTTACATCTGCCTTATTCGGTGGTAACACCCAAGAAACAGAACAACATAACCATAATTCAAAGTGCCATGAGTGACTACAACTTCCATGCATAAGGTATGGTGCATGTGAGGGGCAGAGGGAGTTGGAATCTAAATGAACTTTCAAAGCAAACATTAAGGCTCTGCTTCTCTAATCTCTATCAAACAAATAAAACAACCCCATTTGATTTTATTGTAGAAGAGAAGGAAAAAATATTAAGAACATGAAATATACATGGCCACCATTACCTCCTCGCGAGATACTGTTCTCCTGTGCCTTATTTCCTCCATGATTTTCTTAGTGTAGTTTATAACCTTTTTAAAGCCACTCAGCTGAGATGACCACAAACAAACAAACAAAAACAAAAATGATTAAAAAGGGAATGATAATCATAACATTACACTAGAAATACTTACATTTTGTAGTTCAGAAAACGATTTCCATTGACAATGCAAATGTGACTGGCCTTTCCACTTGATAAAAAATTCAGTATTGCTCCAATCTGGCTCTGAGTCAAACAATTGGTTCAACAGTAAAGGCTCTGTAGATCTGTTGGCTCTTGCAGCTTCTTCTGCCATGCCCTTTGGCTGATGCCATAGCACCTTCTCAATCGAATCACCATCTTCCTCTTCCATGTCATCCTTACCTCACAAAAGGGTATACAAATTAAGCTTTAATAATAAACAACACCATATATATATGACTACTATAAGTATAATCTATTCTACACACCTTGTGGCCCTTTCTCTTGATATCATCATCATGCTCCTCACTTTCGCTTTCAACATATGATACTTTCCGAACTGATCTAGTAGAAGTTCTAACTTCATTGATCCTTCCGGAACCTTTTGTAAGAAAAGATGTGTCTTTGCGAGGATGGCTGCTTTTCCTTCTTGTACTTTTGAAGTCCTCTTCTAAATCATCGTCTAAATCATCATCTGGCGATGAGTCATCTTCATCAAATGAAGCTCTCCCTCTTTTCCTCCTGCTAAAAGATGTAGATGTAGATGGTTTGGGTTCTCTACTAGACTTTGAACTACTACGCCCTCTCTTCTGCCTTTGCATACCACTTGGTTTTTTATAAAAATCATCTTCTGAAATGTCGATTTCATCCTCCTCAGAGTTATCTTCATCCAAATCCTCACCATCCCAGTCATCATCATGTCCCTGAAGGATTGAAAATGTCAGTGTTTACTCAAACCCAATACATATGCATAGGCCAAAATAAAGTACAAGTAATAATAATAACCTTCTTCCCTCTTCCAACACTTGTGGTGACTAAGTCAGGATCAAAATCTGCATCAGCAGGGTCATCTTCTGCAGTATATTAAGAAAATGTAAGTCCATATCTTATGTTTAAGAGAAGCACAAATGAATATGAATATATATCATCAAGTTACCATCTTCTTCATCCTCCTCGTCATCTTCAAAATCAGCATCTTCCACGTATGCACCCCGAGATGAATCTTTTGACTTCTTTCTAGACACCAAGTTATTGGCAGAAACTCCCCGTTGTGGCATTGAATTATAACCACCTGCAGCTGCATTATTTAACAGCTTGTGATGCTTTGAATCACTTTGGTCATCTCCATCCAACTCGTAGTAATCATCAGACAGCATCTCATCCACATTTTGACCCTTATTTGCCTTATCCACATCTGACAAATCATTGCCAGATCCATCTTCATTGTTGTAAGCAGAACTGCTTTTTGATTCCTCTGACCCATGCTTCTGATGCATGGGTTGACAGTCCTTCCAAAATGTTGATCCCCATCTCCCAGTTGTTTTCCTTGTAGTAGCATTAGAAGTTGTTAAATTCAATAAGCTATCATCATCCTCAGCTGCACCATGACCATGATATTGTCCATCTTCCATCTTTGTTGCAAACCCTTTATCCACTCTCAAAGTTGTTTCCAAATCAATGCTCTCGGCTCTTTCTATAGTTCTACCATGGCTCTTGTAATTTAAATCATCGTCTGAAACTGTCCCATGAATGAATATCGCAAATATATAACAATTGCAAACAACAAAATATGGAGTAAATTACATACCAGATGCTCACAGCAAGTTTTTTCTCCATCTTCTGTTTCTTTTATTGAACTCCACAAGTTCTTTCAGAGTAATACCAAATGCTCTTTCTCTCTTACTAATAACTTTTCTACACCATCAACCGGTATAACTTCTTGAACAACACTCTGTCATGATAATGAAAACATATTAACCATATATAGTAGACTTTAAGATCCCCTTTTGGGCATTTTAGTGATTAACCTCAAAAGATGTATTGAAGTGCACTGTACTATGAATTAAAGCACAAAAAGAAGGATAAACTCACATTTGGAGGAGAATCTTGTGAGTATGCTACAGAGTTTGCACACTGCCAAACACCCAAAATTGTGAAACACTGAGAGCTTGTGTTGTATCAAAAGCCGAATCTTGGAAGTATGATATTCTTTGTGTTCTTCATATGATGGGCACTAAATGATAAATCGAAGCATCAAACACTGAGAGCTTGTGTTGTAGCAAAAGCCCAATCGCACAGTGCAATTAGTGGGAAAGAAGAGTAGAAAGTGAAGCATCAAACAGCCCCTCGAGAATTTTAGCGAACAGATGGTGGGCAAAAACTAAACACACAAATACTGATCAACCAATAACCTAAGCTGGAGAAACAACAATCATAAAACTAAAAAACTCGCACCCTAACAATCGATAACTTAATATCAAATCAAAACAATGAATCCATAAGAACAAAGATCGGCACATAATTAAGCTATCGAGTTATCCAAATTAGAAGATCACCTGTTTCCTTCGATGTCAATGTTAGGTTGAATAAAAGAAGAGTATTTGAATTGCAATCCGAGGGAAGGAAGGCGGTCGAGGAGGTGGACGGCGCTGGAGAGGACGACGGTGGAGGAGGTGTCCGGCGAGGCTGAAGCAGCGTTGGTTGAAGTCTCGTTCAAGATGGGAGCGTCTGTGATGCCGATGGTATCAGGGCAAAGGGCAAAAACGTGAACGTCACCGAGTCAGCAATTCTTTTCTTTATGAACCGAGTTAGAGATCAAATTTACCCGCATCCAGAACATATTGACTAACGAGTCAGACAAAACGTCTACTAACCACTCAAATCAAAGCCCTAACACAGGCCAAGAATGCACCTCTACCGCACCATACCACACCATGTTGCGGTGGTGTGGTTGATACGATACGTATGATGGAAGTGCGGTATAACAACCACACACAAGACTTTTATGTTATAGTTAATTTTTTTATTTACCTATTGCTATTTTTCAAAGAAATTTAAATTTGTTTTTTCCTGTGCGATAAATAAACACTCTCACTTCTCATTTTAAAACACAAAACAAATACCAAATGCTTATACCTTTGATTTATAATTTCAAAATGTTTTTATCGTCATCCACTTCGTTGAATACGTTGTTTTTGTGTCACATACTATTCTATTATGTTTCGATTATGGTTTTTTATGTTTTTAATTTATTATGTATGTTTTAAGAAAAATTATTATTGTAGTCCAACTATCTTTCGTATTTTGGTTTAAATAGTCTCTCGTGACTATTTTTTGCTTTTAAAGGACTTATACTTGTAAATGACCGGTCAATTTGATACTTTAACCCACATTTGAAGGTCATATTGTTGTGTAGAGTGTCAACTAAGCGGGTGAATCAGCATCACGCGTGAGTCAGCATCGAGTGGACTCGTCTTCCACCTAAGTCGGTTTAATAGGTTCATTAATTAACTTCAACCAATCCCACCAACCACCCTTAGAGGACAAGGAATCGTCGATGGTGGGGGCATAAAGCACCATCAGAAACTGTCACACCCCCAAACCAAAACGGCGGAAACGTTCGAGGGTGAGGACGTCATGTATAGTATCACAACAATTGCATCATATTATCAAAGTAAACACAATCATTACATTGAAAATATATAAGGTATTTACATCAGTTTGTTTCATATTTATATACATCAAAAGTATATCAAAATATAAAAGACGTGACTCTATGCGCTCCGTCTTCTCAAAAACCTGCGGGAGTACCTGTCTACTGATTTCCTGAGAATACAAGCGGTTTTGAAAGAGTATCAGCATTAAAGGTGGTGAGTTCATAAGCATGTTTTTGTAATGAAAACATGTTGATGAATCTGTGAAAATGTTTGTATGTTTCCAAGAAAATCAAATATGTTCTTTAGTAATGAAATGTAATAGTATGTATGTCTGGTTACCACCAGCTGTATTTTATTGTATTGTTTTGTGTGAAAACTCTTGTATGAAATTCTCTGGCTACCACCAGTAATGTAAGTAATGCATTGTTTGAAAACACTAGCTATCACCAGTATGTATATTAGTTTTATTACTTAAAATAAAACCATGAATTGAAATCCCTGGAATCCTCCAGTTGTAGTATGTAGTAGTTCTATAAATGAAAATAAAACTATTGAAGAATGAAATCCCGTAAACAAAAGGTTAGTTTATACTATTGTGAGTTCGTATAACCATGTTTGATATGACCTAGTGACCCCTAGTTCTTCAGGCGTTAGATGTTATGACATTTGTTACCCCAGGCATGTCTGTCTAACTGTAGTTAGCAGTTCAAGTGTGGGATAGTCAGTCCCGAATAGATCTATTCACAAATCTCACGCTCTCCCTCCATGAGACTCTGGTTATACTATGATGAGATTTAGCCCGCACCCCGAAGGGTACAATTGAAGTGATGTCCACAACCCTGTATTAACTAATTTACGTTTAGTGTAATGTTCTTTTGTACTTGAATCTGTATGTATGTCTTGTAGAGTAAAAATAATTATACTTAAATAATTATTTAGAATTGTACTCTTGTTATCCGAAAAATAGTATTGTATACCATAAACTAGTTCTACCTATGTTTGTTATGATGTACGGTTCTTGAATTTGTATAACGGTGTATTGAATCCCAAACTATACCTATTATAGTTTTGTATGTATGTTTACTTGTATGTATTAAATTCTGTAAAAAGTTCGATGATGCTTCCAAAGTATATCAACATAGTTTGAATGTATAATATGTGTGGTACTGAAAACCTGGCAATTTTCATTGTATATTGAAAACGACCCTCATGCTCAACATGTTACATAAGGGATAAAAATATATAAATATTTTTATAAAATGTAATGATTTCTCGGTTGGTATCAATTGCAAAGGTTTTTAAATCCGTTTGAAATCATTTGTATAAAAACACAAAATCCTAATGTTTTACTTGTATTCTCCCCCTGAAAACATTAAAAGTAGTAAAAGTAGGGGTATGAACTCACAGTTGGTTGCACGTATGTGCCGGACAACGAGACTGGAAATGAGGACCCTCAAGTTGATGTACGCATCAATTAATGGAATCCTAATAATAATTAAATACATATTTGCATTTAAATTAGCGAATCCATTAGTTAAAGTTTTAGAAAACACTTGCTTTTAGTTAAGGAATGTTATCGAGACTCAATCGAAGCGGTAAAAGTGGGTTTACAGCCAAGATCCACGACTTAGGGCCAATTGCAGGCATGAACGGATTTCGACCCTTGAATGGTTCGCGGTCGTGAACTGATTTTGGCCTTTGAAGATTTGAAGGTTCACGGCCGTGAACTCAAGAATGAAGGTTGCTTGATTTGATGAAATGATGAATGTTTGATGCTCCAAAACAAGTTCCAAGGTAGATTGGATTATTTTCGGAGTATAGATGAGAGGAATCTTGAGTTTTCGATTGGTGGTTTTAGAGAGAGAAAGTAGTGTTTTCGGCCATAAGTTTGGAAATGAGGGTAAGAACATATATATATATATATATATATATATATATATATATATATATATATATATATATATATATATATATATATAAGTTGGGTTCACGGTCGGAGGTGAGGTCCCCAGGCCATGAACGGTTTACAGCCGTAAACAGGTTCACGGCTGTAAACACCGAGACTTGGCCGATTTTCGATGAAAAACTTGATTTTTGCACGATTTTGGTCCCGACACTTATATAAATTTAATTTATATAATCTAAGTTGTTTTCAACCCTTACGAGCTTGACAAAACTGGCAAAATAAATAAAATTCGAAATTTTTATTTAACGGGTTTTGACTTTCGTTGACTAAAAAAGGTTCGGGTTGTCACAAAAACCCATGTGAGGCTTAACCTAACAGATTCACGAGACTTGTTTACCTTATTTGGGCAAACACGATTCCGACCAAAACCCTAAATACTCTAAATACTAGCAATGTCGGCTCCACCACCTCCTTCACCTGACTCGATAAATTCACGAGAGTTTCTCAACCTCAACGACCTGCATACTATTGTTTGCGACTGTGAAGACAAGATTGTTGCCAACTAGATTGGGATGTAGTGGCTTAAATATCAGTTGGGTAAAGATTTCATTGTGTGTCGTGTTGATCACATCAGTCTCCAACACAAGTTGGATGATCATGATAGGAAGTCAAAAGCAATTGTTGTGGTGGTGGGCGGTGTCATGATGGCAATGCTTGGGATGATGGTGGTTGGGGTCAAAGTCCTTATGAAGCTTGGATAAGTTGTTGGGGGTACATAACGACGCATATATATTATAGATGTAATCGTTTTAGGTTTTCTGTTCTTAGGTTTTTTTGGGTTTTTTGTGTGATATCTATGGATTATGTGAAAAGTCTTGTGTTGATGACATGCATTTTGTACCTTTGTTAAGCTTCTTAATGGAAAAGACCTGAGTTATTCTCAGGCGTTTTGTATCTGATGTTTGACTTTATGAACACTTTGATTTTGGTTGATATATCATGCAAAAACAAAGAACAGAACATATGTTGGGTTATTTAACCCCACGTGCCTTGCACGATGAGGGTAGTTTTGTCTTTTCATGTTCCTAACGGCTGTAAAAAGGGATGTATCGTTCAAAAGGGTACCTCATTCATTTTTTCTTCTGTCCTTCAAATCAACAGTTGAGTAAGATCCAACAAAATTCGACAAGATGAAGATTGTTTGTAGATATGGAAGTCCGACAATAATTCGCACATTTACGATTGACAATAACCATGGAAGACCATTTTATGCATGTCTACACAAGGTTAATGTAGTTATATTTTTAGAACCCTAGTTTCATAATTGTTTTCTAGATGTAACCTTAATTTCTTATTTAGGGAGCCCAATCAGGTTTCATTTTTAGGTTGATGAAATAAAATGCAGCAATGAAGAAATCAGTTTTAGTGTACTGATGAGGTCCAAGAAGAAGCTGGAATCAGAAGTGTTGAAGTTGAAGCTGATTTTACTTTATAGTTGGGTTTTTTTGGTGGAGGGGGGGTTAATCATTTCTAAGTTGTAATAAAATGTATTTGGGTAGTTGAATTAAGAACAATTTGTACTTGTGTGATGTGACCTTAATGTATTGTTGTCTTATCATTACCCTTAATTACGTGTAGGGATGCTAATTACCCTTAATTTTGTGAAATTATGTCACCCTTAATGTCTACATATAGTATGTTGGTAAAAAGCATTTTAAAATTGTTAACAATTATTGTATATTTTGTTGGATTAGTATCTAAGCCCGTAACTATATTTGGTATGTACTTAACCCGGTTGTGCATGGTCCTTTTGGGTTGCCTTCACCAAAGCAACTTGACAAGGTTATTTAGGAGAGAGAGAAGATATTATGATTTATTAAAATATTATAAGAATAATATATTAAAGGATAAATCATATTATTTAATTAATATTGGTCATAAATTAATTAGGAATTAATTTGGTGACTAAAAGAGATTAATTGAATAAAGGGGCTTAAACTGTCAAATGTGTGATAGTTAAGTTTTGGGTTGGGAAACCTAATGGACTAAGGGGGAATGAAATTATGATGGGGATCCATCATATTTTCATCCATAGGCCCTATTCCAGAATGTTCCATGGGCTGCTTGGTGACTAAGCTGTCCATTAGGGTTTAGACTGAAACCCTAGCAGCCTACAATATAAATAAAGACCCTTGCTTGCAATTTTCGGTACTTTGACTCCAAGAGAAACCATAGGGCCGATTTTAGCATCTTCCCTCCTCTCTCGTAATTTCCTTCTTGCTTTGTGTGGTGTTTGTAAGCCATTAGAGGAGTTACACTTGTGACTCTAAGCTCAAGGCCAAGAAGAATCAAAGGATTTCATGCCAATTGAAAGAGGTAATCACTTAGATTTGTTCTTATAGTTTTAATTTCGAATTATGCATGCTAGATCTAGGGTTACAAGTCTTGGATGAATTACACGTACAATAGAGAAGCCTGGATCCAAGCTTTAGGGTTTTGCATGAGCACATAGGATGTTCTTTTGCATTAAAACCATTAGTGGTATCAGAGCCTTGATTGGTTTCTATTTTATGTGATGTAGTTGTCGAGTTTTTGCTGAAAATCGTTTTTCTGGCCTCTGCCCGACCCGACTCGTCGAGTCAGTATCTGGACTCGGCGAGTCTGCCCAACTTGGCGAGTCTGGGAGTCAGACAGAGGATATCTCGGGATTTCTTGCTGTTTTGCTATAGGATAAATGCCAAAGTCATTTTTTAATAATAAAATCCGAATTTTATTGTATTTAAATAATTATCCTTACCAAAACAAAAGATAATTTCAAATCATTTGAATAATAGTTTCTTTATATGATAAATATGGATTGTTTAAATTATTTGGTAATTATCTTGTGATTAAAATTGGATTAGGTCAAATATAGATAATCATAAAATTAATTGTTTAGTTTATATTATTTGTTATTTGATCCTTTGAGTTTTGAAAAGGTCAAAACTTATCCTCAAGTTTTGAAATTTAAATTTTAT